CCTGGCTTTTCGTCGGAATTGTGATGAACTTTTACGAACAGATAAAGAGAAATCCCAGGAGTGATTTAGGCTTTATTTTATCCGAAAACTTTAAGACTGTAATTGAAAAAAAAAATTGATAAAATAAATGGTGTTAGATTATCTATACATATAATAAAACTGTAAATAGCAGATGTCTGTACATTTTATATTTTTGTAATAAAAGTGATTGAGGGGTACTAAAAATAAGTAATTAAATACATTTCTACCATTTTTAGAATTTTCTGTCTGTCTGTCTGTCTGTCTGTCTGTTTGTTTGTTAACGTATCACGTTTAAAGTACTAATTTATATCATAAGAATTGTTAAGGAAATTATAAAGTGTATCTTCGGGTTACATTTAGTCTTTATTTCATTAAAATCGGTTCATTCCATCAAAAGTTATGATAAATATTCTGAAGTATGGGTAGGGAATTTGCTCAACGGTGGCTTTGTTTGAGTCATCAAGTTGATGTTAGCAGCGCCATCTCTCTTCAATTAAATATATACATATAATAAAAATGATGATAACATGTTGTGTCTCTTTCTGTACATTGTATATTTATTTTGGTGACTAAAATCATTATGGTGAACTAAAAATAATTAAATAAGTACATTTTTATAATTTTTAGAATTGTCTGTCTGTCTGTTTGTCTGTTTTTATATGAATGCATCACGTCTAAAGTAAACATCTTTTTTTTTTCAAAGAAATCGTTAAGAAAATCATAAAGCGTATCTTCAAGTTACATTTAATCTTTGTTTTATTAAAATTGGTTAATTCTATCGAAAGTAATCATTATTATTTTAAAATGTAGGTTCGAATTTGTTCAATGGCGCCATAAAAATCTCAGAAATAGTAATAAAAAGATTTGTGTGTAAAAAAAACGTTCCATAATAATTAATATATTTATACTTAAAACATAAAAAGAGATTTAAAAATGGATGTTTTCTCACACAAAGGACGTAATAGATGGAGTTATACAAATTACAAACTTTTCTGATTTGCTGTGTTGAGATTTTTCGCCGATGAATCGTATTGAGACTTACTGAAGAAATTAGTATCTATCGAAGCCATACAACGGAACCCGAACAAAAATAACAAAATTGCAACGAAATGTCGTGATATTGTATTTATAATATACGCAAAATCAGTACTGCCATTTTAGCGCTTTGGGAACTAGATTTAGCGCTTTTTTGGAATGTATAGCGCGCATTTCGAAATTTTAGCACCTAGCACGTAATCTAGCCCTTTTTGGTGTATTTAGCACAAATTTCTAAATTGTAGCGACTAGCGGGTTATTAACTCTTTTATAGCAGCACTGTTAGTCCACATTACCGATAAAATAATAATGACCTTTATTATTTTTTTCCACAAATAGTACATTGCAATTTATCTTTTGCAAACATATTTTTTCCACAAAACAAAGAGCATGGGAGACGAGTCCAAACTAGGATACCCTGTGCTATGGATCTCCCGGCTTTCCCTTTAGGATGATCAACTTGATTTTTCTTATCGACGACTATAAGCGGGGAAATCCCCTTCATTAAAGTTTTCGTTCATGGTTTTGGCAACGCATTTATTTTGCTTTATTCAGTTTTAGTCAGTTGTTTAGAGCACAGCTAAGTTAAAAGTTACTTAGAGTAGTACTAACTACTGTTGACAGCAATTGCCATAATTATAAGTCGATGTCCTGCGAAGTATTGATACATCAAAAAATATTGCCAGAAAAAAACATAATGTTGTTTTCTTTATTATGATTATATTTTCTTGAATTACAAATTATAATAAAAAACACAAACTTTGTTTGTAGTTAATTTAGCGCCAAATCTAGGGCTTTTTTAAAGCGCTGTTTTCATGAAATCTAGCGCTTTTTGTGTTGTCCTAGCGCTGAATGAGTTTTTTTGATCTGGCAGTACTGCCAAAAAACCCTCTATTAAGAAGTAACTTTCCCTTCAGTTTTAAGCGCGTTCAGTTCCCAGTTACAGTCAGCGTGTGTTATGCGATGACCGTAAATAAAGTGCAAGGTCAAAATTTACGCGTTGTAAGAGTGGAGCTCAGTACGGACTGTTTTGCACATGGCCAACTCTATGTTGCTTTTTCCCGCGTTAGTAGCCCCCGTAACCTTTTTGTGTACACCCCGTCTAAGTCTACTTCTAACGTCGTTTACACCGAAGCTCTATCATAAACTACTTAGAACTTTGATGATAATGATTTATTTGTTGCCACTTATTGATACAGTAATGATATAAATCGTTTAATATTCTCTTACCTAAACGACAAATTCTTTATGTAAAATCTATATACGCGAGCTACGCCGCGGGCACAGCTAGTCATAAATATAAATAACGCTACACTGGTTGATACTACCGAGTCGAAACCGGAGCGGTTGCTAGTATTATATAATTAGAGCTTGGTAATTCAAATTTATTTTTAGGTTTTTAAATTTTTTAGATTGTTAAAATAATAAATTCGGTATACCAAATATGTCATTATTATTAAACAAGCCTTTAACTTTTCGCAATAATTTGAGTAAAACCGCACACGTACGTATGAAGTTACACATACGCCCACACGACCTTTATATCTGTGGTTACACAGTTCTAAACGTAAAGATTTTCTGAAATAAATCACTTTCAAAGTAATACTAGAGTTGTAGATTTCTTTAAAATTGTACGTCTTTTTTCATTCCGCATTTTGTCTCGAACGGCAACCTCGTACCGGTAAGCGAAGTGTGGGGCAGTCTCCCGCTACACGAAGTGACGACTTGGTAAGATAGGTAGAAAGTCGATGGATGCAGGACCTTGCCTTGTAGCATTCCTTGGCGAGGTCTATGTTCAGCAGTGGACTTATGAAGGGGTGTAATGATGGATGATGACGATGAGTCAGTTAGTACAAACATCTATAACTACCTTCTTTATTTTATCATGGTGATATTTGTCGATTAATTCTGAATAAAATTGTACCTCAGGGAAGCATCCACAGATTGTGCTGCATGAATTGATATACATTTGTCTACCCTTTGAAAATAATAATTTCTAACACGTCTCTTAAAGTAGGATTGATATCTTACTAGGGCATATACCAGCAATTTTAGCATATGGTACAATTTTCTAGGGCAACGCCCCAACTATCGGCAGTGTATTTTGAATGCAAAAAAAGTACATTAGAGCTTTGTTCGGGGACTCTCAGAGTGATTCTTGTAGACCGCTTTTTAAAAAACTCAACATTTTGCTACTACTAATGTTTATTCAGATGTAACTTTATTTGTATAAAATTGAAGAAAAATCTCTTTAGCTGTACTGTTTGTATCTGGCTGGTCAATACATGTAGGACATTAAGAAAAAGTTAAATAAAAAGTAAAAACACTTTCCCGACAAATGAGTGAATCTTACGAAGAAATTCGATTCATTTTAAAGTTTTATTACAAAAAAGGAAAATGCGACGTCTATGGAACTAATGCAGGGTCAGTAAGAGTAGCACAAAGTTGGTTCAAGTGTTTTCATTCCGGTAATTTTGATGTCAAAGATGCAGCTCGCTCTGGTCGCTCTTATACTGATAAAGTCGATGCCATTTTAGAAAAAGTGGCGCAATATTGGCATATTAGTAGTAACAATGTAGCCGAGGAATTAAGATTGACCACAAAAAAGGTATATATGGTCTATACAAACATACCATGGTAGGTCTATACAAAAAAAAAAAAACTTGATATTTATATACAAAACAAGCTCATAGAAAGAAACCTTATGAATCGAGTATTCATTTGCGATCTTCTATTAAAACGTATTAGATATAAGATATTGGTCCCTAAAAGAAATTGTCAAAAACCCACAAATACCACTGAAAGTAAAGAAAAAAATTTTTGATTCATGTATTTTACCCATCATGACATATGGATGTCAGGCATGGAGTTAAACGAAACATAACCTGCGCAAACTAGAGACCTGTCAACACAGCATGGAGAGGAGCATGCTCAACATCAAGCTAAAAGACAAATTAAACTAGAAACATTACGAAATCAAACTAAAATAAATGATGCACACTGTGTAAGAAAACTAAAATGGAAGTGGGCAGGTCATAGGATGAGGAGTAATAAAGAAAAATGGGCTTAGAACGTTACCGCGTGGTGTCCAAGACAAAACAAACGAAAGAAAGGGAGGCAGCGTCTTAGATGGGAGGATGATATTCGAAAAATTGCTGGAGTTACTTGGAGGAGAATTACTCAGGATCGAAAAGCGTGGCAAGCTCTAGGGGAGGCCTTTGCGGAAACGCAAGACAATCACAAAAACGGTGTCTAATAATTAATGTATATATTTAAGTTTAATTATATATATATATATATTTTTTTTTTTCTTTTATTACTTATAGTGTTTCCATACGCATATTTTGTAAGATTGTTAAATAAAGGCTATTATTATTATTATTATGGGGTATCTATAAAGTTTTCTCATCTCGTTGGGCAATATAAATATATAATTGTAAATAAACATGGTAAACGTACATAAATATCAATAAAATAAAATAAATACATATAAATACATAAATATATAAAAACCCAACCAGATGGAAGCCCTCGGCAGAGGAGACCAGACGGCCGAGGGTTAGGGGGAAAGGAAAAGAAACCAGCGGACGATGCGGGCGGTATCGAGGAGCACCGCTTTGTGCATTTGAGCTTGGAGCGGTCCGTCACGGAGTCCCAGTCGCCTCAGATGACACGAGAGGCTGACTGGAATTAACCCATTCGCAGAGACGACTACAGGTATAATTTCGGCCGGCAATCCACCCCACATGTCGGTCATCTCGTGAGCCAGGTCCAGATATTTAGTCATATCTTTGACTGTGCCCTGTACATCAGCACCATATCAGGCTTATTCGCAAGAATAGTCTTGTCTGTGATGATGGCCCGGTCCCAGTAGAGCCTGGTGCGGTCATTTTCGAGCACGGCTTCCGGCAAGTACTTATAATACGGCAGTTTCCGGCAAGTACTTATAATACGGCAATAGAATTGCTAAAATCACACGTGATGTTTAGCAATTCCATAAGGTGGGAGCGACTGGAGGCGTATAACTTGAGATCGTCCATGTAGAAAAGGTGGGTCACTTTTGTACCTCCTTTCTGAAGCTGAAATCCCCTCCCATAGCCCTCCAGTAAGGTACTGAGAGGGTTCAGAGAGAGGCAGAACCAGATTGGACTCAAACAATCGCCCTGGAAGATACCCCTTCTTATCCTTATGTGGTTTTCCGCAGCCGTCATCCGCTGGCCTAGGTGACAAAGGATCGTACTCCACTGCCCCATACACTGCCCGAGGAAGTCTCGAACTGTACAGTTAACCTTGTACAGCTCGAGGACCCTCTTAAGCCATGTATGGGGCACCGAGTCGAAAGCCTTTTTGTAGTCTATCCAGGCGGCGGAGAGGTTCCGACGGTTGCGTTTAAGCACCTTGCCAATGACCGCGTCAATGAGGAGTGGTTCCTTGGTTCCACGACCACCGCCCTGACATCCATTTTGAGCGCGCGACATCACCTGATTTGAGTTCAGGTGACGAGTGATTCTCGCGCTCAAAATGGATGTACGTGTATTGTATATGGTAGATAGACACGTTATGGGGCGGTACTTGCTCCGCTCTGTGGAATCCTGGTCTTTAGGAACCAAATGAGTGATCCAAGTAGTGAAGAGGCTCGGGAGCGGCTTTTGGTCGAAAGCCTCTTGAAACTGTCGGGCGAGCACAGCGTGACACACCTCGAACTCCTTCAGCCAGTAGTGATGCAGTCCGTCGAGTCCCGGACTTTTCCAGTTCAGGGCCCTACGGACCACCTCAGTTACGTCATCCGGCATTATGATGACGGGGTCCATGGGCGTAATATTCGCACACTGACTCGCCACAACTTCCGTCCACGAGCCCTCGCTGTGGTTTACGGACTCTGACCACAGGCCGCGCCAGAATGCGATAGTGTCAGCCTGATTCGGTGCTGGGCCCATTCCACGTATCATTGGTCGCTCCAATGATTCATAGAGCCTCTTCTGATCACTCTGGAAGAGACGATTCTGATTGAACCGTGTCGACCTCTTGGTATATCGCCGAATCCGCTTCCCCCAAGCAGCGATTTTCTGCTTCAGGTCGTCTATGCGCTCCGTCAGTTCTTGCGTTATATCCGGCTGGGACAAACTGATATTTGACCCAGCAAACGCCATCCTGACGGTGCGCACAATTCTCGGGCTATTGTTGCTCGACCTAAAGCTTATCAGTCTGCCGATGAGGGCCCTTGCCTTTGCGAAACGGTCCTCAATCCTTCTTCTCCAGGCTGGGATGGCGCTACTGTGTCTAGTAGCGCGTCCAGCCGTGGAAATTTTGGCGCCAATAATACGGCAAACTGCCAGTGCGGCGCCAAAACGAATTGAGTTCGTGTCGCAAAGGTCCCGGCTGGCTTCCAAATAGGTCACCAGCATTGGTTTGAGAGCCCTGACGACAGCCTGATTCCGCTTGCTTAGGGGTATACGGGGAAGTCGCGGTCGATTCTCGAGAGGCGTACAGCGCGTTTCCCTAATCGCCTCCTCCAATACGCTCCTCATTTGCTCTTGTTCCTGGGCGACTATTCCATCGTCGCCTGAGTCAACCACAAGGAGATCTACGGCAGCATCTACGTGTGCGGGTTGCTCTGCAACTCGTAGAGCCGCATCACCTGTCATAGTATTTTCATTCGACGAAGGAATAGCCTCACGTCGTAGCCGTTTGAGTTCGGCGTCCTCTTTTGCCCTAAAATACTTCCGCAATACGTTTGTATTCATTTCCTTCGTCCAATGCATGCGGCGTACTCCACCAGCGGCGGGTGCCGCTTGCCGAGTCCGAGAGGACCCTGCCGACACCAAGCCATCTGGTGGGGATGATGGATGCGAGGGGCTACTAGGTGGTCGTGTAGCACCTCGCGCTTGGCTGGCGGCCCGCATGCTGTCGCGTCCAGCGCCAGCTCCAGATGCGGCCCGGCGACCCTCAGGCAGCGGCCCTATACGCGGTCTATTCGTTTCAATCATCCATAAATTGGACGCCCAGAACAGGCGCCGTTTCATGATGGAGCCATATGCACAAACGGGCCTTTGCACCCTCAATTTTGCCGAGGCACGGCGCTAACACTGCTTGGCAAGGTGCTGACTGATTGCGCCGACGTAGCAGTTTTGTCACTAAACTGTTACGTCAGCGGGCGTTGGGGTCGTCACTTCCCTACGCCATTTTATTATTATTATTATTATTGAAACGTAATGAAACCGAATTATTTTTGAAAAGATTGATTATTAGTGATGAAAAGTGGATTACCTGCACCAAGAACGTAATCAAGCTCCACAGAGTGTGTCAAAACCCGGATTCATACGCAATAAGGTGATGCTGTGTGTATGGGTGGAATTGGAAGGGCAGCGTTTATTATAAGCTTTTACCGCCGGGCACATCCATCGATTCGGATCTCTACTGCCAACAGCTAATAAAGACTGAAGCAAAAAATTGAGAAAAAACAGCCGGAATTGATCAATAGAAAAGGAGTGGTCTTACATAATGATAATGCCAGACCACACTCATGTTTGGACACTCAGCAAACATTGAAAGAGCTTAGTTAGGAAGTATTAATGCATCCACCATATAGCGCAGACCTTGCATCCTCAGATTTTTACCTGTTTCGGTCTCCTCAGGATTCTTTGGGTAGTGTTAGTTTAACGTCAAGAGATGACTGCCAAAGCTACTTGTCGTAGTTTTTGATCAAATATCCCAAGCTTTCTACAGCAACGGGATTATGTTACTACCTACAATATGACAACAAGTAATCGAACAAAATGGCACAAAATTTTAAGGAATTTGAAAATTGGATATAAAATACGAAGAAACTTTTTCCCCAACCTTATATAAATATTTATTTGAAAATTCTAAAAATCATAGAAAGCCTTCTAAAATAACAAGTTCATTTTATAACAGTATACACTAAAAGCATTTATTGTATTGCCATATAATTTACAATAATATTCCTGGCTATTTTAAAATATGAACGACATCAAATTTAAAAATGTATTTACTGAACATATGGTTATTAGATAAATTAATGCTTCTACAGCTTACAATAATTTTTAGACAATAAAGATTATATAACGTAATGATATATTTAACGGTATTTGATTTAATAAAATAATTTAAATTCAAATTATTATAAAAAAGTTAAATTCGTAAGTTATTGTTACTATATAAAACTGACGTATTATATAGTAATAATTATTTAATTAATAAATATGGTGACATTATTGATTGAATCTATATAATATATACTCGATAAAAATATTGATTATTTTATAAATATATTTAATATTTTTCGCAACCTTTATTGAATAAAAATCATTCTATCTATTCGATTCTATTCCTAGTATAGTGCTTGTTTAAATTAGTAAACTAATGACCGTATATATGATATATACGGTATTATCCATCTTTTTATGTCAGTCGTAAAATACGTAGACTGAAAAATAGCGCCAAAGATCGCCAGCTCAACGTGAAGTTTAAGGCAAACTTTCACGAGCTGAAGATGATGATGATGATGATAAGGAAGAATATGATGATGATGATTAAGTTTATGTTTTAAATTTTTACGTAAATTTAACTGGTCATTACAATATCACAATATATAACAGATGAAAGAAAAGTAGATTTTTTTTTCTTACGTTAAAGGAAATAATCTCAATTACTGCCCTATTTAAATCAATGGGTCTTCAGTCAAATTATAATACATAATTCCATAGAATAATCATCCTTTGTTGCCAGTATCTGCAATTTTATAGCTGGAGAGCTCTTTTCTATTGTATGCTATACAATATTATCGACGTTATTCTACCGTTTTTGTGAATGTAATACATATTTTTGTACGTGGTTGAGCCACGCTGCAACTATTATGGTTGTATTGGGATTGTCCGGGTCGGCTAGATCGGGGTAGGACAATGCTCTCACAGAATATCAGCGCAAAATTGCAACTTAATACTGCTGTGTTTTTATGGTGAATGTAGAGAGTAGGCATTCCATGTTAGTTCGCAGGTGTGACAACGCGTCTGCATTTTGATTTTAAATTAGGTGGACAGTGTGCTCGTTTGTCATCCTCATTCTAAAAAAATATCCGAAGCCGGATCTTAATTTCCCTCTACACTATGCCTTAAGACTGATTTCAGAATGTTAAATTATTTCCTATATAAACTATTAGATTCACTGCTGAGAATACCATCCTTGCAACCTAATATACCGTTTGTAAATAAACTTTGACCGAAAAAAAGCAAAATAAAACTGGAGATAAATCTTTTTGAAATTTTTAAAAAAATAAGAGTAATTATAATTTTTTTTTATAGTATAAGGGTGACAAACGAGCACACAGTCCAACTGAAGGTAAGTGGTTGCTGCGGCCCATAGACATCTACATCTATCCTCGTTTGCGAATCAAAATGCAGATGCGTTGTCACCCGTAAGGACTAAGATGGAATGCCTCATTTCCAGTAAAAAGGGCCTCCGGCCACCTGTACTCACCAAGCGTAACGCAGAGGTAAACCTCTGCTTCACGCTGGTATTCTGTGAGGTCGTGGTACCACCCCGGTTCGAGCCGGCCCATCCGTGCGACAGCAAAAGCTGCCGCGTGGCTCTACCACTGTTATATTTGACTTAGAACCATGACGTCATTATACTATATATTCATATAATTTCTTTAGAGATGTTTGACTGTACAAAAATATTTTAATAGAATAGAGTAAAATAACATTAATTAAAAAAAATCAAACTTTTGGTTATTTATTTTAAAAAATCTAACTCTTGGTTTTTTTTATTCTGAATCAGTTCATAAATGTTCCATGGTAGGGTATGAGCTATTGTGAAAGTAATTAGGCTTGGCCTAAATCGCCACGCTTGAGTAGATTAGCGATCTCAGTATCAGTCGTTTCTGTCTGCAAATCGCCAGTAGGTTACAGACGGCGCAAACATTTTTATATAACAAAAAGATAAATTTATGCATAAACTAACATTCGTCAAAACATATATATGGTTCTCAATTTAACTGTATGTTTTTGTGTACAGTATATCCTCGAAAATTTTTAATGATTTCAGTGATTTGTGACCCTTAAGATTGGTCCCAAATCAAATAATTTACGGGTAAAAGGATTTTAATGTAATTATTTAGACTTATGTTCCGCTGCGAATTTATGAAGGCCTGTAATGATAATGATGGCGACGCTCTCGACGACATTTTATTTGTGCTTTTGAGCTTTTGATATCGCTTAGTTCACGCAAAAGGAGCAAATAATCGAACTTTACAAAATAAAACTAACTATAGGAGAAATAAAAACAAAATATTTTAATTTAAAGTCCCGACTTAAGAGACTTTAGAAACAATGAAATTACGTGAAACATATTTTAATGTTTTTAGTTTTTTTGATTTTGATTTTTAAAGTTATAAAGAAATATATTATGGTTATTCAGCCTACTCTCAGAAAGCCTCTTTAAATCATATTTTTATACTGTGTTGTTAATGAAGCCCGGGAGCTGTCAGTTAGGTTATCGTGATTGATTGCACCTAATTACATATTATCTTGCTTCTAAATGTTTCTGCGCACAAAGCAAATTTGCAATTTAAGTATAACATAATCACCACAGCAATCATTTATTTAAATGACGTTATAAAATTTATGATGTCTTCCAGGATGATTTTGATTATAGTGTTTGCCGTGTCCCATCCAAACATAATAGAAAATTGTAGGAGCAAAGATAATAATTTATAGAACGCTAGCTGTGCCAGCTACTTTAACCGCGGAGTATTTGAAATTCATTCGTTAAAACACGATGTTAGCAGTTT